AAAAGAAAATTTTAGATTTTTACAAAATGCCCAAAACTTCAACGTTTTCCATAGCCGGCATCATCGAAAAAGTCAGTTTTGACCCAAAAAACAACTTCACCAAATTTGCTCAAAAGTTCACACGAGGTGCCTAGAGGCCAGAATTGAATTCCCTGAAGAGTTCAACTCATTACATTCAGTATCCAGTGAGAAAAGAAACATTTTAGATTTTTTACAAAATGCCCCCAAAACTTCAACGTTTTCCATAGCCGGCATCATCGAAAAAGTCAGTTTTTGACCCAAAAATACAACTTCACCAAATTTGCTCAAAAGTTCACACGAGGTGCCTAGAGGCCAGAATTGAATTCCCTGAAGAGTTCAACTCATTACATTCAGTATCCAGTGAGAAAAGAAACATTTTAGATTTTTTACAAAATGCCCCCAAAACTTCAACGTTTTCCATAGCCGGCATCATCGAAAAAGTCAGTTTTGACCCAAAAATACAACTTCACCAAATTTGCTCAAAAGTTCACACGAGGTGCCTAGAGGCCAGAATTGAATTCCCTGAAGAGTTCAACTCATTACATTCAGTATCCAGTGAGAAAAGAAACATTTTAGATTTTTTACAAAATGCCCACAAACTTCAACGTTTTCCATAGCCGGCATCATCGAAAAAGTCAGTTTTGACCCAAAAATACAACTTCACCAAATTTGCTCAAAAGTTCACACGAGGAGCCTAGAGGCCAGAATTGAATTCCCTGAAGAGTTCAACTCATTACATTCAGTATCCAGTGAGAAAAACACAATTTTAGATTTTTTACAAAATGCCCCCAAAACTTCAACGTTTTCCATAGCCGGCATCATCGAAAAAGTCAGTTTTTGACCCAAAAATACAACTTCACCAAATTTGCTCAAAAGTTCATACGAGGTGCCTAGAGGCCAGAATTGTATTCCCTGAAGAGTTCAACTCATTACATTCAGTATCCAGTGAGAAAAGAAACATTTTAGATTTTTTACAAAATGCCCCAAAACTTCAACGTTTTCCATAGCCGGCATCATCGAAAAAGTCAGTTTTTGACCCAAAAATACAACTTCACCAAATTTGCTCAAAAGTTCATACGAGGTGCCTAGAGGCCAGAATTGTATTCCCTGAAAGTTTAACTCATTTCATTCAATATCCAGTGAGAAAAGAAACATTTTAGATTTTTTACAAAATGCCCCCAAAACTTCAACGTTTTCCATAGCCGGCATCATCGAAAAAGTCAGTTTTTGACCCAAAAATACAACTTCACCAAATTTGCTCAAAAGTTCACACGAGGTGCCTAGAGGCCAGAATTGAATTCCTGAAGAGTTCAACTCATTACATTCAGTATCCAGTGAGAAAAGAAACATTTTAGATTTTTTACAAAATGACCACAAAACTTCAACGTTTTCCATAGCCGGCATCATCGAAAAAGTCAGTTTTTGACCCAAAAATACAACTTCACCAAATTTGCTCAAAAGTTCATACGAGGTGCCTAGAGGCCAGAATTGAATTCCCTGAAAAGTTCAACTCATTACATTCAGTATCCAGTGAGAAAAGAAATTTTTAGATTTTTTCAAAATGCCCCAAAACTTCAACGTTTTCCATAGCCGGCATCATCGAAAAAGTCAGTTTTTGACCCAAAAATACAACTTCACCAAATTTGCTCAAAAGTTCACACGAGGTGCCTAGAGGCCAGAATTGATTTCAACTCATTACATTCAGTATCCAGTGAGAAAAGAAACATTTTAGATTTTTTACAAAATGCCCACAAAACTTCAACGTTTTCCATAGCCGGCATCATCGAAAAAGTCAGTTTTTGACCAAAAATACAACTTCACCAAATTTGCTCAAAAGTTCATACGAGGTGCCTAGAGGCCAGAATTGAATTCCCTGAAGAGTTCAACTCATTACATTCAGTATCCAGTGAGAAAAGAAACATTTTAGATTTTTTACAAAATGCCCCCAAAACTTCAACGTTTTCCATAGCCGGCATCATCGAAAAAGTCAGTTTTTGACCCAAAAATACAACTTCACAAATTTGCTCAAAAGTTCACACGAGGTGCCTAGAGGCCAGAATTGAATTCCCTGAAGAGTTCAACTCATTACATTCAGTATCCAGTGAGAAAAAACACAATTTAGATTTTTTACAAAATGCCCACAAAACTTCAACGTTTTCCATAGCCGGCATCATCGAAAAAGTCAGTTTTTGACCCAAAAATACAACTTCACCAAATTTGCTCAAAAGTTCAAACGAGGTGCCTAGAGGCCAGAATTGTATTCCCTGAAGAGTTCAACTCATTACATTCAGTATCCAGTGAGAAAAGAAACATTTTAGATTTTTTACAAAATGCCCCCAAAACTTCAACGTTTTCCATAGCCGGCATCATCGAAAAAGTCAGTTTTGACCCAAAAATACAACTTCACCAAATTTGCTCAAAAGTTCACACGAGGTGCCTAGAGGCCAGAATTGAATTCCCTGAAGAGTTCAACTCATTACATTCAGTATCCAGTGAGAAAAGAAACATTTTAGATTTTTTACAAAATGCCCCCAAAACTTCAACGTTTTCCATAGCCGGCATCATCGAAAAAGTCAGTTTTTGACCCAAAAATACAACTTCACCAAATTTGCTCAAAAGTTCACACGAGGTGCCTAGAGGCCAGAATTGATTCAAACTCATTACATTCAGTATCCAGTGAGAAAAGAAACATTTTAGATTTTTTACAAAATGCCCCAAAACTTCAACGTTTTCCATAGCCGGCATCATCGAAAAAGTCAGTTTTTGACCCAAAAATACAACTTCACCAAATTTGCTCAAAAGTTCACACGAGGTGCCTAGAGGCCAGAATTGAATTCCCTGAAGAGTTCAACTCATTACATTCAGTATCCAGTGAGAAAAGAAACATTTAGATTTTTTACAAAATGACCACAAAACTTTAACGTTTTCCATAGCCGGCATCATCGAAAAAGTCAGTTTTGACCAAAAATACAACTTCACCAAATTTGCTCCAAAGTTCATACGAGGTGCCTAGAGGCCAGAATTGAATTCCCTGAAAAGTTCAACTCATTACATTCAGTATCCAGTGAGAAAAGAAATTTTTAGATTTTTTACAAAATGCCCCCAAAACTTCAACGTTTTCCATAGCCGGCATCATCGAAAAAGTCAGTTTTGACCCAAAAATACAACTTCACCAAATTTGCTCAAAAGTTCACACGAGGTGCCTAGAGGCCAGAATTGAATTCCCTGAAGAGTTTAACTCATTCATTCAGTATCCAGTGAGAAAAGAAAATTTTAGATTTTTTACAAATGCCCCCAAAACTTCAACGTTTTCCATAGCCGGCATCATCGAAAAAGTCAGTTTTTGACCCAAAAATACAACTTCACCAAATTTGCTCAAAAGTTCACACGAGGTGCCTAGAGGCCAGAATTGAATTCCCTGAAGAGTTCAACTCATTACATTCAGTATCCAGTGAGAAAAGAAACATTTTAGATTTTTTACAAAATGACCACAAAACTTCAACGTTTTCCATAGCCGGCATCATCGAA